CTCTGTTCAGGCCTTTTTCCTAGTGATAAACAGTTCAGGGCTGGCTGTGGGCATTTTGCACTGCCGCTTGGTTTTATGTGGAAAATGTCACTTTAAATTTTGAGGAGATCTGTGCGCATGCATAGTAGAACCCTCTGGGGGTGGGGTGAGGTGTCCACTAGCTCAGGCACCCCTAAAGTCATCAGAATGGAGGTGCTCAGACAGCAGGGGACCAATGAACAGTTACAAAAAGAAAAGAATGTCCACCCTTTATCTCCATGGCTCTGCCAGGCGTCTGGCCGCTGAGATCCTTCCTCTGCTTGGTCTCACCCAAGATGGCGGCTCCTGGAGCAGCTGAGCGTCCCTAACGAAAAAGCAATGGATTTCTTGCTTCTGCCACAAATTCCCCCAGCTAGCTGTAAGCCTTCCAATATTCCTTTACATGTTGTTCATAGTCCTGGGACCATCCCCTGAGGGTATTCTGTGTTGTTGCTGACGGAGCTCCTCACTGCACTTCCACCTGATCGCCATCTTATTTGTTCTCTCCTTCTATCTTCTTTGGATGCTTTCTGTATCATTCGATATTTTGCCCATAGAATCCTTCAGTATTGCAAGTTGAAGCTTGAATCTTTTTCTTTAGTTCTTTCAGCGTGAGAAATGCTGACCATGTTCTAACTCAAGGTGTTTGCACATTTCATTATAGTAGCAAATTAGTGGACCCTGTAATAAGAAATGGAAATTCTAAAATTTTAATATCCAGTGCCTCCCTGTAATAGAAATGTATGCTGAAAGGAATACTGTCTATGTGCCAGTTTTGGAGTTGTTTTTTACCTTCAAGGGCTTATACATATTGTTGACTAATTCTGCTGCTTCACCTTAGAGTGAAATACGCTCTCAACTTGGGCTGCTCTTAGCCTGGGCCACAGAGAATCTGCGTCTCTGCCTTGCATGTTGACTAGTATGTTCTAGGTCACTCAGTGAGCTTACCATGCTTTGTTCTAGTTTGTTCAGACCCTTCACAGTGAATGTCTGCAGAGTGCTCATACAGGTTGGACATGATACCCAGACTGGTACTGCTGGGCATGGGACAGGGCCACCACCCGACTAGGCCACTACCCCTGGCGGCCAGGTACAAAGTTGTCTGGGGTTTGCGCTTCCCAATTTCATCACACTGCTTTCAGCAGATGGCTGACAGTGATGTAGACTGATGCTTTCTATTTTGACTAAACCTACCTCTCTCTGCCCTCCCCTACCTGTATACCTGCCTATCTTGTCTATTTCACCTTTCATTTTCATTAAGTCACTCCAGTGATTAGCTAGCTAGCATCCTCCTGCTGAGGAATGCCAGTGTGTTTGAAGAATTTTGTGTTATTGTTACTTAGATTCCTATGTGAGCGGCTTCTCAAATTTTTTGGCTTGCTTAGTTGCTTCTTCTCTTGGTATATTAAACAAAACATAATTTAATAAAATCACATAAGTTTTACTGTAAGTACTTTGAAAATACAGTGAAGAAAATAATTTTATCTCTTTAAGTGTTTTTAACATTTTGGAACATTCTTCTAGTCTTTTCCATATATATTTGTGTGTATTACATTTATTTAAAATAGTATATATGCTAACTGTATAGATACAATTCAGTATCTTTATTTTTATAGCAGGAGTATTTCTTACAGGCTTGCATGTTGATCTCAATGTAATTTTTTAATGATACCTAGTATTTAATTTTGTTAATATGCCATAATTTATTGAGCCAGTTTCCTATTGTTGAAACTTTAGTTGCATCTCATTTTTATCAAGAATTCTGTAATGATTATCTTTGCATAGAAATTATGTGCATCTGTTTCCTTAAGGTAAATTTTTGGAGGTGGCAGTATTAGGCCTTTTTGTTTGCATCACTGAATTGCTCTTTAGATGGTGGTGGTGGTGGTTGTGTGTAACTGAGTCAGTTTCGAGTCATAGCGACCCTGTATAGGGTTTCTCAGGCTGTAAATCTTTATGGGAACAGAAAGTCTCATCTTTCTCCTGCAGAACAGTTGGTAGTTTTGAACTGCTGACCTTAAGGTTCACAGAATGTATCAATTTATACCACTTTTAGAATGCTAATTTTGCCACATCTTTGCCAACACTGAGAATTCTCATTTCTTAAAAATCTTTCCTGTCACAGATGTACCATTTTACTAGCTCTGATTTTCTCTGCAAAAGATAGCCCATCTCTGAGACTTCTCTGGTGGGGAGGGCATTCCTTTCTCTAGATGCAGCCTTTGTGTCTCATTGACTTCATGTTAGACAAGAACACGCTCTCAGCTGTTCCTCACACACCACCAACCATTTCTACTCCTCCCGACACACATGCTTCTCCCAGCTCCTTAAAAGCACTAATGGAGTCTGCACTTCTTCCCCAATCTCTTTTTTCCCTCACAGTTCAAAAAAGAAAAAGCAATGGGAAATATGTTTATTGAACAACTATCCTACAGATGCATCCTTACAGTTTCGGTCACCCTGCATTACTTTCAGTAACACCCAATCCTTAATTTATGGGGTCCCAAGCTTCCCATTCATTTTGTCCAAAAACTTAACTTCTCATTCCATTGAGGTATTCTGCCAACACCTGTTTAGAGAATTGAGGTTTCACTTTGTTATTACCTACCATAATGAAGTACCTTCTCAATGCAGAGGTTGTATTTTTCATTTTCTGTGAAGTCATGTTTTGTTGGGAGTGTGTGTGTGTGTGTTTGGAGAAAGCAGACCTGTTGATCCCACAGGGAGGTAACTGATACATCTTCACCGGGGCACCTGCTCCCTTCATGGTTCTAAATGTTTTGTTTTGCTTTGTTTTCCTTTTTTTTAAATCATAAAAGCAATTTATCTGTATACAATGGTTTTTGAAAAAGTAACCTACCCAGCAATCCCACCAACCTGCACAATTATTTTCATTTTCTTTCGATCTTAGTTCAAATGCATATGTTGAGTATTACATTGCTGTAATCATAGTCTGTGAACATTTACATATTAATTTATTACTATTACATAGATTTTATAAGGAGCGCTGGTATCATAGTGGTTATGAATTAGGCTGCTTAACGTCAAGGTCAGCTGTTCGAAACTACCAGCTGTTCGAAGCTACCAGCCGTTCCATGGGAGAAAGATGAGTTCTGCTCCCGTAATGATTTACAGCCTTGGAAACCCTGTGCAGGATCGCTGCGAGTCAGAACAAGCTCCACGGTACACCACCACCATGTAGATTTTATAACTAGTTTTTAATTGATTGCATAATAGTCCATCATTTGTCTACTTCCTGTTGTTGGACATTTAGGGTTCTTTTTGTGTGTGTATGCCTCTCTTTTGTGCTGCTTTAATAATGCTACAGCATACAAATTTGCATATAGCTTTTGAACATTTTTTTGTCTCAGGATAAAGTTCTGGAAGGTAGGGTTCCGGGACCCAAGGGTTTGTCTGCATAGCTGCCATCCTGCTTTCTAAATGAGTTATGCTTGTCTGCATCCAGAAATTTTGTCAGTATAAATGCAGTGTAAAGTTTGTAGGCCTGGATGCCCTTGGAGGCTGAAGCAGATTTGAGCAGATTTGAGCCAGCCAGATGCATGTTTCCAGCAGGCTGAGCTTTTTAAGTAATTTCTAGTGGAGACTTCTTTCCTAAGGATTTGGATGCTGGTCAGAGCCAGCCAGATGCACGTTTTCAGCAGGCTGAGTGTTAACGGTAATTTCCTAGTGGAAGACCTCTTCCTAAGGACTGCTGTACTCTTACTCACCATGGTTCTGTAGCTCTGCTTCCTCAGATCAAGAAACAAACAAGTATGTTTTCTTTTCTTTGTGTATTCAGTTAAAATAGAAATTGGGGCTTTCCCCAGACTGTCCCCTGGCTAATTTGATTACCACATGGTGCCTTGAGAGTCCCTCAGGTCTAACCGCCCATTTATTTACCCACTGATAACGAGCTCAGGAAAATCAAGGAATCAAGAGTGACTGTTGAACAGATAAGAGCCAAAGGAACCTAGGGGATAATGGACAAACTCATCTAGAGTTTACTCAGGAGACAGGTTAGGGGGATGATGGACGAACTCATCTAGAGTTTACTCAGGAGACAGGTTAGGGGGATAATGGACGAACTCGTCTAGAGTTTACTCAGGAGACAGGTTAGGGGGATGATGGACGAACTCTTCTGGAGTTTACTCAGGAGACAATTCTAGCGGGATGATGGACGAACTCTTCTGGAGTTTACTCAGGAGATAAATCTAGCGGGATGATAGACGAACTCGTCTAGAGTTTACTTAGGAGACAGGTGAGCAAAACACCTGGCACTTGTAGTTCATATTGGATTTGATTGGACTTGTGCAGCAAAAATACAAAATGATACAAAGTTGGTGAATAATTACAAAGAGTAAACAAGCAGAGAATGTTCTAGCCAAGTCTCTTGAATGAGTGGCTTTTTGAAGGAAGGGGATGTGGAACTGTGCATTTCTTTAAAGGCTGTAGTGATGGGCTTCTTGCCACCACACTCGATCGTGGATTGATGATTTCCCATGGAAAGTAGAGAGAGCGTGGTGTGAGCAGACCTTCTTTTTGGCTCTGCAGCTAGGTTTTGAGGGAATCGAGGTAATACCAGGCAGGCTTGTCCCTGAATATAGACACCTCCCCAGTGCTTTAAAAACCAGGGATCCAACGTGTTAGCTGTGTCAGTTTCCGTGTTGCAGACGAGGTGGGCTGGATGAGGAGATGCAGGAGCTGCTGGTTTCTGCAAAGGTGTGCTGGCTGCATGAAGGGGGATTGATGGATGTGCAGTGAAATGCTGCTGGACAAAGTCCTGTAGGGCCTTGTTGTTAAGTACTGTTGAATTGGTTCCTACTCCTAGCAACCCTTTGTAGGGTTTCAGGTGAGCACCTGGTGGGTTTGAACCTCCGATCTTATCTAACAGTCCAGTGCTTATCCTACAGAGCCACACCAGGACTCCAGCTCCGTGGATCCTGGTGGTCACTCATTCTCTTCTGTTTCTGTTATAGCCTTTGTCAGCATCCAGCCATGGGGGACATGAAAACCCCAGATTTTGATGACCTTCTGGCTGCCTTTGACATCCCAGACCCCACCAGCCTTGATGCCAAGGAAGCCATCCAGACCCCTAGCGAAGAGAATGAGAGTCCTCTCAAACCTTCAGGCGTATGTCTGGACGAGAGTGTGTCCTTGTCTCACTCAGGATCGGCCCCAGATGTGCCGGCTGTGAGTGTCATTGTCAAGAACACCAGCCGCCAGGAGTCGTTTGAAGCCGAGAAAGACCACGTCACTCCCAGCCTCCTCCACAATGGGTTCCGGGGCCCAGAGCTGCCCCCAGATCCACACAACCTGGGACACAACTGTGGGAAGTTCGAGTCCACGTTCATGAACGGAGACAGTGCCAGGACTCTTCCTGGGAAGCTGGAGCCATCCAAGTCCGAGCCATTACCAACCTTTACCCAGTTTAGTCCAATCTCCAGCCCTGAACCTGAGGATGCCATAAAAGACAACGGGTTTGGGATGAAGCCCAAGCACTCGGACAGTTATTTCCCACCCCCTCCTGGGTGTGGGTCACTGGGTGGCCCAGCCCTGGATGCTCTGGGTAAATTTCCAGTTCCGGAGCTGCATATGTTTGATCACTTTTGTAAGAAAGAACCGAAGCCAGAACCCCTGCCTTCGGGGGGCCAGCAGGAGCACGAGCAGAGTGGGCTGAAGGCAGTGGAGTCTCACAAGGAGCTGGACGCCACTCGATTCTTTGGAGATGCTTTGGACTTCAACAACCACCCGAGCACCAACAGTATTGGAGAGGCCAGAGGGCTGGGCCCTGAACTCGGCACCTGCTCTTCCGTTCCCCCTAGGCAGCGTCTGAAGCCGGTTCACTCCAAACTCTCCTCTTGTGTGGCAGCCCTGGTGGCCCTGCAGGCCAAACGAGTGGCCAGTGTCCCCAAGGAGGATCAGTCTGGTCACCCAAAGGACCCCTCAGGGCCCATTAAAGAGGGTTCTAAAGGCAGCCCCAAAATGCCCAAGTCACCAAAGAGTCCCCGGAGCCCTCTGGAGGCCACTAGGAAAATTATCAAGCCATCGGACAGCCCCCGGAGCCTCTGCAGTGATAGCAGCAGCAAAGGCTCCCCTTCTGTGGTTGCCAGCTCCCCACCAGCAATTCCCAAAGTCAGAATCAAAACCATTAAGACGTCATCAGGGGAAATCAAACGGACCGTCACAAGGATTCTGCCAGACCCTGATGATCCAAATAAGTCCCCTGTTGGATCGCCTCTAGGGAGTGCCGGTGCCGAGGGCCCAAGCGAGGTTACAGGGGACGAGGGTATTGCCCTGCCTACAGAGGAGCACTTTTCTGAGGTGGACATTAATTCAGGGAGCCCCCAGGGGGACAGGAAAGGGGAGGAGAGCAAGGCTAGTGAGTCTTCATCTCCCTGCTGCAGCTCTGGACCCCGGACCCCAAGGGGGGCTAGCCCAGGCTCACAGATGGGCAAGAAGCAGCAGCAGCAGAGCTCAGCCTCCAGCCTGACCCCTGCCAACCTCCTGCCCAAAGCCGTCCACCTGGCCAACCTGAACCTGGTCCCCCACAGTGTTGCTGCGTCAGTGACAGCCAAGTCCTCAGCGCAGAGGCGGAGCCAGCCACAGCTCACGCAGATGTCGGTGCCCCTCGTCCACCAGGTGAAGAAGGCTGCCCCGCTGATTGTGGAGGTCTTCAACAAGGTCCTCCACAGCGCCAACCCTGTGCCCCTTTATGCACCAAACCTCAGCCCCCCTGTGGACAGCAGGATCCACGTGCCGGCCAGTGGCTACTGCTGCCTGGAGTGTGGAGATGCATTTGCCTTAGAGAAGAGCCTGAGCCAGCACTATGGCCGGCGGAGCGTCCACATTGAGGTGCTGTGTACGCTGTGCTCCAAGACGCTGCTCTTCTTCAACAAGTGCAGCCTGCTCCGGCACGCCCGCGACCACAAGAGCAAGGGGCTCGTCATGCAGTGCTCCCAGCTGCTCGTGAAGCCCATCTCTGCAGACAAAATGTTTGTGCCAGCCCCCGCCAACTCCACGGCACCAGCTACCCCAGCCCCTGCGGCCTCCCCGAAACCTGACCTCACTTCGGCCAGCTCCAGCCCACCTCCACCCGCCTTACCACTCTACCCAGACCCTGTGAGACTCATCCGGTACGGACTCAAGTGCTTAGAATGTCACAAGCAGTTACAGGACTACATCGCCCTGGCTGCACATTTCCAGAGAGTGACCGAGGAGACGGAGGGGCTGGTAAGCAGACCCTCCCTCTGGTGGGACTTGGGCCCTGGCTCGTGGTTGGGCACGCTGTGGGGCAGGGATGGGCTCACAGGAGTCCTTGAGGAGGAGGGCCTGACTGTACAGTACTTGATGTTTACCAGGGAGCCCTGGTGGCACAGTGGGTAAGCACTTGGCTGCCAACCAAAAGGTCAGCGGTTCAAACCCATCCTATGCTCCTTGGGAGACAGATGGTGGCCGTCTGCGTCTGTAAAGATGACAGCCTCTGAAACCTACGGGGCAGTTCCGTTCTGTCCCAGGGCATCGCTGTCGGAATCAACTCAGAGGCACCAGGTTGGCTTTGGGCTCAGCTGCTTACTTTTGGAACTCATCCTGCCGGTCCTCCTGAGAAAGACCCGGCAGTGTGCCCCTGCTTTAAAGATGACAACCGAGAACCCCTGTCTCCTGGGGTTGCTATGAGTTGGACTCGACCTGACAGCAGTGAGTGGGCAGTGGGTGATGCTTATTGGGAAAGGCACTCTACTTCCAACTGAGGGGAGACCCTGAAGATGGGTGCTCATGCCCCATGGTGCGCTCCACTCCCACTCTGGTAGGCTGTCAGGGGGGCATCTCTGCTGGGTGGTCACCCTCCAGACATGTGTCCCAGAGGACACGGGGGTGGGGAAGGAGGTTGGTGAGTCCCTGACCCGCTCCTCACTGCGTCCTTTTGACAGCCATGTTTTCAGCGTGCTGCTGTGTTTGCTGAGTCTCTGTGGGTGAACCCAGCGAGCAGCAGGGGCAGATGGAGAAGGAAGGGAAGCAGCCGGACATGTGGCCTGGCACACAGGCTTTTGAGACCTATTGTCATTAGTGTCCTGATCAGTTAGGCCTATTGGCCGGTTCACATATTTGGATCTACTCGTTGGTTTGTTAAGGCATTGTTTGCTCAAAAGTCTCTTTGGCATCCTTTGCATTAGCACAGTCTTGGGAAAATCAGCCTCCAGACATGCCGCCTGAAGCTTCTGGTGGCCGTGCAACCACTTAGCCCTCAAGAGTTTTTCTCCTCCTGCGGGTGGAAGGTGGAGCCAAGCCCATACCCTGACTGTGCCTCCCTGCCTCCCACAGAGGCCTGACGGGAAAGACAGCTCTTTTTGCTTCAGCTCAGCTGGGGGCCTGCACACCTGTTGGTCACCAACAAACTTTGCCCATACTTTGACAGTGCCCATGGTGTGCACAGGGGCTCTGTGCCAAGTGCGGGTGTGGGGGCGGGGGCACAGGGGAGGGATTCACACCTTTCTTTCTGGAGTTTACAGAGGCTTAGCAGAGGTCTCCACCCAAATAGCTCCAGAGTAAAACAGACCAAGAGTGGGACTCAAACCCACGTGTGTCAGAGTAGAATTGTGCACCGTAGAGTGTTCAAGGGCTGCGGTTTTCAGAAGTAGGTGCCTTTGATTGAACTCGAACTTCCAACCTTTCAGTATCTAAGTGTGCTAATCCTTTGCGTCACCCAGGGACTCCCCAGATTGGAACTAAAGCTGCATTATAAGCACAGGGCCACGAGTACCTCAGAGGGAGGAGTTCCTGGTGACTGCAGGCCTCGGCGGGAAAGTGCTGATGGACAGAAGTGATGTTTAAGGGGGGCTGCAAGGATGTGTGGATGGATGAGAGGGAGGGGCAAAGTGGCTGCAGGTATAGGGAGCGGTACAAAGTTTTGTGAAAGTGTCGAGTAAGTTTGAGAAACAGTCGTGGCTAGTGAGGGTGGCTTTGGGAATGTTGGGTACAGCAGGAACTGGAGTTGGTGAATATGTGGGCTTTTTGCAGAGGATCCAACTCCCACAGGGGACTAGCAAAGTGCTGGGGGTGGAGGTGACTTTGTTGTCCTGTCTGTTTCAGTTTGCATTTTCCTTCCCTGAGTCAGGTAGAACGTGGCACCCCCACGCTCTTTTCCCAGGGGTCAGTGTTTTTCCTGCCAGCCTGCTTGAATTGAGTCACGATTCCTTTTTCGGAGTCACATGACCAGAACCCTTGGCAGTGGAAGTCTGATATCTAGGCATGTTTTGGTTTTGCCCCACCATGCTGTTCCTCACCCATTGTCTCATCTGAGCAGGCAGAGCTCTGGGCACAAGATCCTGCTTCTTCTCTGTGCTGTTCTCTGGTGGGGGTCTGACAAGAGCATCCCAGACAGGAAGGGAGGGGGGTACTACTGGGGAAGGCGGTCAGACCTTCTTGCAGCCTACATTGTAGCTCTCACAAACTCTCCTGTTCGTATTTGTGTCTTCCAAGTCACTAGGAAAAGAGTAAGACTTGAGCTCTAGTATCAGTGACTGACCTCAATGGTGATTGGGCTTGAACTTCCTGAGACAGTGCCTGGGGAGGTGGGTGCACAGTTGGGGTGTGGGTTTGGTTCCTCTGTAGAGTAGGGGCAGCATTTTGGGGACCTCCTGTTACTTATCTTCTAGGAGTCTGTACCTGAACCGAATATGTCTCCCTTCATAGTGACTAAAGAGGGGCTGTCTTCCTTCCATTTACATTTCCAGTCACCTTGTTGGGGCAAGATGTCAGCACAGAGGGATTTTGTTTTCTTATAATTAAGGTTTACTTAAACTATAATGTCATCACATCTAACAAAATTAATAATTCCTTACTATTACCTAATGTAGGCCCACATTTAAATATCCCCACTTGTGTCAAAAAATGTCTTTTTTAATAGTTGGACTTGTTTGAATCTGGATCTAACTAAGCATGGACCCCATGTTACATTTGTTTATGAAGTCTCTCAAATCTCTTTATTCAGAACAGTACTTCTGGCCACTTTTTACCCCTCATGCCATTGACTTGTTGAAGAAACGAGGTCATGTGTCCTGAGAACTTTCCAGGACAATTCTGAGTTTGATTGCTTCTTTATAGAATGAATTTGTTCTGTACCTGAGGTTTCCCCTGCAGATTAGCAGTTAGTTCTAAAGCCTTTATTGGGTTTTGGTTCAGTTCTGAGGGGAGCATGCTGACTAAAGAGGTGGTGCTGTGTTCTTCACACCTCATGACTTCAGGAGGTATACTGTGTGCATCACTTCCAGTGATGTAAACTCGGTCAGATTGTGATGTTCTCATCTCTTCATTGGGAAGCTCCCCACCTTCTGTTTAAGCATTTCAGTATCTGTTAATAAAACCACTTCTTGTCCAGCTAACGCCAACCAGTGGTGACCCCATATGTGTAAAAGTAGAACTTGTGTGTCCCAGAGGATTTTCACTGACTGGTTTTTCAAAAGTAGATTGTCAGAACTTTAAGCTCACCACTCTTTTTTTTTTTAACTTTTCATTGTAAACTGAGTCATCATTTACATGAGAGAATATCAGCTTTATACTCGGTCCATTGCAATGATTGTAATCTTCTCCGTGCATCATCATTCAACAATGTTTACTTCCATTTCCTCTGGATTTGTTGTTGTTATTGTTTTCCAATGTACACAGAAACACTCAGGGATATATAATGGTTTAAACAACCGAAGGGCACATTCTGCAAGCCTGCCTCCTGGCTGCCAGCACACAGCCTTTCTCTTCCCATGAGTCTAGAGTCCTCAGCTGCTCCCTCTCTCCATATTTTCATCTCTGCCTCCATCTCTGGTGTCTCTACCTCTTTGGATAGGGGTCCTCAGATCGCCCCTATCCAGAAAGGCAGAGACACCAGAGATGGAGGCAGAGATGGCTAGCAGTCATGCACATGGACTGTAGCATTCAGGAACCCCATTCATAAACTCAAAGGTAAATTAAAAAGTATTGCTACTAGGGGTTCAGTTCATACATGCTTGGGGTTTTCTAGGCATATGTGTTCAAACAGGTTTCTGTGACCAGTGGATGGCTGCAGATAAGTTTTCAAAAATATGAGAGGGCTAGAAAAAGTTCATGGAAAACTGGGATTAAGAAATAATGGAATTCTTTTCACAATCATTTTGAAACCCCCTTGTATACTTGTCTTAGTTTCATTTGGGTACCTTCAATAGAAAGGTCTTGTTGAAACAGTGGCTTTGAGAGGAACCGTTGGGCCAGTTACATTTCAGAGAAGAGAGGTCAGCTCAGAAGGTTATAGCCACTCTTCTTTGGGATTCCAGCAGGGTGGTCTTGGTAGACAGAAAGAGATCCATAATTGTGTCCATTCCAAAGAAAGGTGACCCAATAGTATTAATAGCATACGCAAGTTAAATTTTGCTGAAGATAATTTAAAAATGGTTATAGCAGTACATCAGCAAGAAGCTGCCAGAAATTCAAGCTGGAGTCATAAGAGGACGAGAGACAATGGATTTCATTGCTGATGTCAGATGGATCTTGGCTGAAAGCAGAGAATACCAGAGAGATGTTAACTTGTGTTTTATTAGGCATTCAACTGTGTGGATCATAACAAACTCTGGATAACATAGCAAAGAATGGGAATTCCAGAACACTGTATTGTGCTCATGCGTAACCTGTACATTGACTGAGACAATTGTTTGAATAGAACAAGAGGATACTAAATGGTTCAAAATCAGGAAAGGTGTGTGTCTGGGTTGTATCCTTTCACCATACGTATTTAGTCTGTATACTGAGCAAATCATCTGAGAATGCTAGACTATGTGAAGAAGAATATGACATCAAGATAAGAGGAAGACTTGTTAACCTGAGATATGCACATGATACAACCTTGCCTACTAAAAGTAAAGAGGACTTGAAGCACTTACTGATGAAGATCAAAGAATACAGCCTTCAGTATGGATTACAATTCAATGTAATGAAAACAAAAATCCTCAACTGGACCTATAAACATCATGAAAACTGAGAAAATAATTGAAATTGTCAAGGATTTCATTTTACTTGGATCCACAATCAACACTCATAGAAGCAGCAGTCAGGAACTCAAATGACATACTACATTGAACAAATCTGCTGCCAAAGACCTCTTTAAAGTTTTGAAGAGCAAAGATGTCACTTTGAGGACTTAAATGCACCTGGCCCAAGCCATGATATTTTCAATCGCCACATATGCATGTGAAAGCTGAACAGGGAATACGGAAGAGTGAAGAAGAATTGATGCATTGCAATTGTGGTGGTGGTGGTGAATGTTCTTTCAGAAAAACAAATCTGTCTTGAAAGAGAGAAAGCCGGAAAGCTCCTTAGAAGTAAGGATGGTAAGAGTTGGTTTCACTTACTTTGGACATGTTATCAGGAGGGATCAGTCTCTGGAAAAGGACACCATAGTTGGTAAAGAGTCAGTGAACAAGAGGAAGACCCCTAACTAGATGCATTCACATAGTGGTTGCAACAGTGGACTCAAACTGAGAACAGTTGTGTGGGCACAGGACTGAGTAGTGTTCCATTCTCTTGTACGAAAGTGCTTGCTGTGAGTTGAAGAGGACTCGGCAACACCTAGTGACAGCAATTCTTGGTAGATTTTCTTGAAGGATGCAGGATGATCAAGGGGCTTAATATAAAGAAATTTTAAGACAGTTGAAAAGGCTAGGAATGTTAGACCAAGGAATTGTTTTTTACCATGACAATGTACGTGGTCATTCTTGGTGGATAGCAAGGGTTGTCCGATGAGAATGTCCTTGGGAACCCATCTCCCTCCACTTTACAGCCCAGATCCTGCTCCTTCAGACCTTTTTTTTTTTTTGTTCCCAAACTCAAAGAACATTTAAAATGAATCTGATTGGAGTCCCTCAAGGATGCCAAAGCTGCTGTTTTGACAGTTTACATTGAAAAGCATGGAATTCTTCAGGAAAAGGCTAGAGAGATAGAAACACCTCCTTCAGAAGTGTATAGGCCTGTGTGAAAGATAGAAGAAGTAATAGCTTCATATTTGATATTTTTGTTTAATAAAGGTTTCGGTGATTTTACAACAGTACTGTTTGGGTTATGCGTGTAACCATGGCTAGGATAATAAGTACTTTCATTATGACTTGCAAAAAAGTGTTTTTCTAATTTTATCATTTATTAGCTGAACTTGGTCTATTTTTCCATCTGTGAGGGCCGTTTGGCTACACTGAGATCTAATTTGTGTTGTACAGTTGGGATCGTATCTTAATTTGAATCCTTTAATGAACAGTTTTCAGAGTAGCGAGTTGATGGCCTTAGTAATTTCAAACAGTGTTGAAAAAATGTCCCCTCTATCACTTGTAGTCTCCTAATGAGCCCACCAATTTTGATATACTCAGTGTTTTCATGTGTTCATTCTCTATGATGCTCAAGTTACCCCATCTGTGGGCAGTGGGAATCCCTTCGTGCCTTTTGACATGATCTGATTCACCTTTGAATGTTTCCTTGCTTCAACTCCAACAAAGGTGCCTTGTCACATGGCTTGTGCTGAGCCTAGAACCAGCCACTTCTCCAAGGAGCCAGGTTTCTCTGGGTGAGAAATAGTATCCAGAGGCCACATTCTGGGTACCAGAGATGCTCATTACTGCTGGGTTTGTTGTTGTTTCTAGGATTTTTCCATGTTCAGAGTAAACAACATAGTTTAAAAAAAAAAAAAGGAAAGTCATGACTTTATACAAGTATTCAAATGTAAAATGATAGTGTTCTTTTGTAATTTATTTGCTTTTTATGCTAAAAATCTTGGTTCCAAGATTTTCTTGTGCTATAGTGATTTATCCTATAGCATATATATAAAAATTTCAAAGTAATCAAAATCAGTAATTTTTTTCTAACATTAAGACAGCTGCACCAAGTTTAAAATAAACTTGAAGTTCTTTTTGTCAGTAGACTTTATCACAGACAGAATGTCTTAAGTCAAAATTCTGTTTGAAGGTTAATGGAAAGAATTGTTTTCTTTATATGATTATGTGACCCACATAATACAAGGGAGCTTCAAAAAGGTCATAGAAAAATTCCATTATCTTTTAATTCCTCTTTTCCATGAACTTTTTAAAGATTCCTCTATCTTGTTAAGTGCCATCAAGTCGGTTCCAACTCATAGTGACCCTGCATAGGGTTTCCGAGGAGCAGCTGGTGGGTTTGAACTGCCGACCTTGTGGTTCGCAGTCCAGTGCTAATCCCACAGCGCCACACCGGGAGTCTGCCCTCATAGACGGTTTGGTTACTTACTTCTGGTTTTCAGTTTTCAGGTGATACTTTTGTTTATTTCACTTTAATTTAAACAAGTATCTAAAACACTTATCTGCTTCCGAAGTTAGAGCTACATAACAGGGCACATTCAGAGAACTCTTGACTCCATCCTTGTCTCTCTCACCCTGTTCCCCTCTTCCTCTTTTAATTTATTTTTGGTTTATCCCTCCACCACTCCTTTTTTGCATTGTGACAGGAAGGGTAACAAGACCTTCCTCTGCTGGTGTGACCAAAAAATTCTGGCAGCTTAGAATTCAACCAGTGCCTAAGGGCTCTGGAAAGGAAAAGTCTAAGGGCTCTGTGCTAAACCAGAGGGAAAATATTCTTACGAGGGGGCTTCAAAAAGTTTACAGAAAAATCCCATTAGCTCATATTCCATTTTTCCATGGTCGTTTTGAAATTCCATCATATAGGCCAGGACTCATGTTTGGGAAAATAGTCGAATGATTGAACAAGAAGGTGGAAGGCAAAACAGGCCTGCGTGTCAGTATCAGACACTCTTTAATGAGACCTGGGCTTGTGACAAGTGTCCTTCCTTATAGAACTTGTAAGAGAGAGTGGTTGGGGTGAGATCATTCTGCCCGTATCCTAAGAAAGCCAGACAGCTGTGATCGGAGAGCTCTGGGTCCGCGAAGACTGTGTGATCTGCTTTCTTGGTGTTCTCTCCTAGACTTGCCAGGTGTGCCAGATGCTGTTGCCCAACCAGTGCAGTTTCTGTGCCCACCAGCGAATCCACGCCTACAAGTCCCCCTACTGCTGCCCGGAGTGTGGGGCCCTCTGTCGCTCTGCCTATTTCCAGACCCACGTCAAGGAGAATTGTCTGCACTATGCCCGCAAGGTGGGCTACAGGTGGGTGCTGCCTGGCTCACTCCCCCATGACTGCTCAATGGCTGCTCCTCTTCCTGGGGCAGAACTCACTGCAGACTGAGGTTTGGTGTGAGGAGGTCAGGGCCCCAGACCAAACGGATCAGGACAGTGGTGGGCATGTCGGCAGGCATTTTCACTTTGTAGAGGACAGGAAGAGCAGGAGCAGTTCAAAAGGAAAACATTTGGGGGGTCTAATATTTTTATGGGGAAACTTTAGGGAGATTGTTGTTGTTCGGTCCTGGTGAGTTGATTTTCTCCTCACAGCAACTCTGTATGACAGAGTCGAGCTGCCACCTAGGGTTTCCTGGGTGGATTTATAGCCGCGAATTGCCAGGTCTCCCCCATGGATGTGCTGGGTAGATGCCACCTAGCCCTCAGCTGACTGTTGTTGTCACAGGGCTTAGATGCATATAACATTCGCTTTGACATTTTTGTTTTTCTTTTCAAGTATGTACATTTGCTCACAAATTTTATCATGCTTGGCATATTCAATTTAAAATACTGTTTAAATAATAAGACTCCTAATTACAGTATTTACAAATAGTCTCAATTTTTGTTAACAAATGTGGAGCTTCAAGACACCAAACTCAAAGGAGTCTAGTTACCTGTTTTGGTTAGTTTTTGTCTGTTTGTGAGAATCATTCAAAACCTAAGAATGGAAAAAAATGATCAGCCTCATAGTAAAACCAAGAGATTTAACTTTGACTAAGTTTCCTGACATTGTGTCAGACGTACGTGAGTAAGAAGTCATTTTCAGGAAAAAGATCAAAGTAGAGGCGAAAACATCCTCCAAAGCTTATTAATCTCTAACTTTTACATCGACCCAGCCAGGTAGCCTTTGCTGATAAACTATGTTTGGGCGTTTCTGTATTGTCTGATGTTCCACTTTCTCACTTTCACGTTTGATAATTCATTTTGCCCAAATTTAGAAAGGCTCTCTGTCCTTTGTTTTTTGTTTTTAATTTTTATTAGCTTAATTTATTAAACATTTATTGAGTTACCTACTCAGCATACAAAGACGATTAAGACACAGTCTTGCCTTCCAGGGGCCATCAGTCTTGTAGGTTATAAATGTATACATACAGGACATTATACCTCAGAGTGGTAAGCCCCGTGATTCTATTGGAGAGGGCCAGGAAAGCTTCATGAGGAAGTTATTCAGAACTTTTCAGACGAAAGAGCATATCTGCTGAGGTAGTGGGGGGTGGGGCGGGGAGAGGAAGGAGGGGGGCTTGAGTCCTCACATTAGGGGTTACAGGAATGCTAAGCACTTATATAGCAATCCATCAGCGTAAACAGGGAGGATGGAAGTGAGGAGAAATGAGACAAAGGCTTTGGTATAGGCCAGGCCTTTGCAAGACCTTGTATTCCTTGGCAGGCATTTGGATTTTATCCAGTGGACAGTGAGAAGCCACAGAAAGATGCCCAGCAGGGGAATAACCAGCTATAGCTCTTGTGTTTTAGAAAGATCATTCTGGGGCAGCTGACAAGTACATGAGAGAGGAAAGCAGCCAGAGACTGGGTGAGAGAGTGTAACAGTTTGGGCAAGACAACGAAGGCTTCAGTTCAGGCATGGCCTTGGGGATGGAGAGGAGATGGTAGATTTGAAGGACATTTAGGAGTTAGAAGCTTCAGAACTTGACAATAGCTTGTGTTTGGGGATGAGGAATGAGGAGGTGTCGGTGATGTCTCCCAGGTTTCTGTCTTGGTATAAACATTTCCAGTTGTAGACTAATTTCTTTCACATGTTATGAAGGATGGAGAATCTAAAGTACATTGAAAACCAAGACAAGCCCAAAACGGGATTACATAAAACTCCTGTTACCAGGTTGCAGAGGAGTATTGCGTGCAGCGTCCCAAGCTACATTTTCCAATTAAAGATCTGAATATATTGTAACAGGATCCTGTAGCATTTTAAAAAATACCTTCCTAACTTTGATTTAGTGTATGCTTGGTTGCTCCAAGATCAAATCCAATCCACCAAGAATGCAATCAGCGCTTAAATTTTTAACTTTGAATCTTGAATCCAATAAATTTTCAACAATGTGGATGGAGTGAAGGCAATTATGTGTGTGTGATGTTAATGAAATTTGTAATAGTAAAAAGAAACAGTATTTCAGAAGCAACTCTCAGTGTATCATGCCTTTTTATAAGGATTGTCAGATAAAAATTGTATTGTGATTTAGCTAAAATGATTACTGAAGCTATTGACATTAAACTCAGTGATCACTGAGTGAACCAAGACACATAAACAGAAGTAGAGTGTCCATTGCACTTAAGACTTCAGCTATCACATTTTTTGGGGCCACAGTTAGTTGTTGTGAGGTTCCATCAAGTCGGTACTGACTCATCACGACTCTGTCCACAACAGAACAAAACACTGCTCAGTCCTAGGCCAATGACACAATCATTGCTACGCCTGAGCCCATTACTGGTGCCACTGTCCCAGTCCATCTCATGGGGGTCTTCACTGGGATTTTTCTATGATCTCCTTCTCCAGGCACTGGTCCCTCCTGATAATAAGTCCAAAGTATGAGAGATGAAGTCTGGTCATCCTGGCTTCCAAGGAGCACTCTGGCTGTACTTCTTGCAACACATATTGGTTTGTGCTTTTGGCAGTCCATGGTGCTTTTAATATTCTCCTCCAACCATAACTCAAAAGCATCAATTCTTCTATGATCTTCCTTATTCACCATCCAGCTTTCACATGCATATGAGGTTATTGAAAATACCATGGCTTGAGTCAGGTGCACCTTAGTCCTTAAACTGACATCTTTGCTCTTGAACACTTTAAAGAGGTCTTGTGCAGCAGATTTGCCTAATGCAGTATGTTGTTTGATTTCTTAACTGCTGCTTCCATGAGCATTGATGGTTGATCCGAGCAAAATGAAGTCTTTGACGTCAATCTTTTTTCCATTTATATGAATGTTGTTTATTGGTCCAATGGTGAGGATTTTTGTTTTTCAGTTGAGATGCAATCCGTACTGAAGGCTGTGGTCTTTGATCTTCATCAGTAAATATTTTAAGTCCTCTTTGCTTTCAGCAAGCAAGGTTGTATCATTTGTGTTTTGCAGATTGTTACTGAGTCTTTTGCCAATCCTGATGCCATGTTTTTCTTCATATAACCCAGCTTCTCAGATTATTTGCTCAGCAAACAGATTGAATAAGTACAGTGAAAGAATAAACCCTGGCATGCACCTTTCCTAATTTTAAGCCAGTCGGTGTTCCCTTGTTCTATTTGAACAGTTGCCTCTTGGTCTATGTACAGGTTCCTCATGAGCACAATTAAGTGTTCCGGAATACTCATTCTTCACAATGTGTTGTCTTTAGCTTGTTGTGATCCACACAATCGAAAGCCTTTGCATAGTCACTAAAGCATAGGTAAACCCCTTTCTAGTATTCTCTGCTTTCAGCCATGATCCATCTAACGTCAGCAATTATATCCCTCATTCTATGTCCTCATCTGAATCCAGTTTGAACCTCTGAAAGTTGTATCAATGTACTGCTGCAGCCATTTTTCAATTATCTTTAGTAAAACTTTACTTGCATGTGATATCAGTGATACTGATATCACAGTGATTCCATTGGGTCACCTCTCTTTGGAATGGGCACAAATTCGGATCTACCAGTCAGTTGGCCAGGTAGTTGTCTTCCAAATTGCTTGGCATAGATGAGTGAGTGCCTCCAATGCCACATCAGTTTGTTGAAAGATTTCAATTTGTATTCCAGGTATTCCTGGTGCCTTGTTCTTTGCCAAAGACTTCAACACACTGTGGACTTCTTTCTTCAGTATCATTGGCTCTTGCTCATAGTCTACCTCTGGAAATGGTTGGTCATCAACCATTTCTTTTTGGTACTGTAACTCTGTGTATACCTTCCATCTTCTTTTGATGCTTTGTGCATCATTCAATGTTTTGCCCATAGAAGCCTTCAGTACGGCAAGTCAAGATTTGAATTTTTTCTTCAGTCCCTGACCTGCATAAATGCAGAGCATGTGCTTCCCTTTTGGTTTTCTAACTCCAGGTCTTTGCACATTTCATTATAATATTTGACTTTGTTTTCTTGAGTTGACCTTTGAATTTTTCTGTTCAGCTCTTGTACCTCCTCACTTTTTCCATTGTCTTTAGCATCTCTATTCTGGAGAGCAAGTTTCAGAGTCTCTTCTGACATCCATTTTGGTCTTTTCCTTCTTGTCTTCTTAATGATCCTTTGCTTTCTTCCTGTATAGTGTTCTTGATGTCATCCCACAACTCTTCCGGTCTTCTGTCATTAGTGTCTAATGCGTCAAATCTGCTGTTCAGATGATCTCTAAATTCTGGTGGGATATGTTCAAGGTCTTATTTTGGCGTTTGTGGACTTACTTTAATTTTTTCAGCTCAGCCTGAATTTTCATATGAGCAATTGATGGTCTGTTCCACAATCTTCCCTTGGCCTTGTTTTGGCTGATGATATGGAGCTTTTCCACCATCTCTTTCCACAGATGTAGTCAATTTGATTTCTGTGTATTCCATCTGGTGAGGTCCATGTGTATAGTCATCTTTTATGTTGTTTTAAAAAGGTATTTGCAATGAACAAGTTATTGCAATGAACAGGTCTTTCACTGAAGATTCTGTCATGTGATCTCTAGCATTGTTTCTATCACCAAGGCCATATTTTCTAACTACTGATCCTTCCTCTTTGTTTCCAACCTTTGCATTCCAGTTGCCAGTAATGATCAATACATTCTGATTGCATGTTTGATCAATTTCAGACTGAAGAAGTTGGTAAGATTCTTCAATGTCATCATCACAGGCTTTAGTGTGTAAATTTGGACAGTAGTGGTATTAATTGGTCTTCCTTGTAGGCATGAGGTTATTACCCTATCATAGACAGAAAACAGCATTGTACTTCAATACAGATCCTGGTATGTTCTTTTTGATGGTGAATGCAACGCCACTCCTCTTCATCTTTTCATTCCTGGCATAGTAAACCATGTGATTGTCAGATTTCAAAATGGCCAATACCAGTCCATTTTAGCTCACTAAGGCCTAGGATATTGATGTTTATGTATTCTATTTCATTTTTGACAATTTCCAATTTTACAGATTCATGCTTCATGCATTCCATGTTGTGATTATCAGTGGATGTTTACAGCTGTTTCTCTTCATTTTGAGTTGTTCCCCATCAGCAAATGAAGGTCCCAAGGGCTTTACTCCATTTATGTCATCATGGTCAAGTCTACTCGTAGAAGGCAGCTCTTCCCCATTCACATTATGAGTGTCTTCCAACCTGAGGGTCTCATCTTCTGGCACTATATTTGACAATATTCTGGTGCTCTTCATCTTGTTTCAATATTCAGTATTCTGGTGCTGACAGTGCTCCATTGCTATTCATTAGATTTTCAGTGACTAAACATTCAGAAGTAGTCCATCTCTCCTTCTTCCCAGTCTGTCTTGTCTGGAAGCTCTGCTGAAACCTGTCAACTGTTGGTGACCCTGCTGGTATTTAAAGTCCTCTTGGGTTAGCAGCATGCCGGCCCCCACAGTGTAACAGACTGACGATGAATGGTGGTGGCCACAGCTTTATTGAGATGGAATTCCCGAACCATACAATGCACTCATTTAAAGTGTACAAATCAATGGCTTTTCTTTTATTCACAGAGTTGTGTAACCATCCCCATAATTAATAGTAAGGCATTTCACCCCCCCAGAAAGAAGCCTATTTCTCTACCCCTAGGTGACCAGTGACTTCCTTTCTGGCTGTAGATCGGCCTCTTCAGCACATTGCCTGTAAATTGTTGCTGTTGTTAAGTGCCGTCATATAATATGTGGGCTTGGCATTTGCTTTCGTGGTGTATCCATGGTGTAGTGTGTATCAATACTTCATAATTTTCTATGGCCAAATAATATTCCATTGTATGGAAATACTGCATTTTGTGGATCCATTCATCTGTTGATGGACACTTGGTTTGCTTTAACATTGAGGCTATTATGAATAATGCTGCAGTGGACACTGTGTGTGAATGTCTGTTGTATCCCTGCTGTCAAGTCTTTTGAATATATACCTAGCAGTGCAGTTGCTGGTCATAACGGTAATTCTATGCTTAACTGTTTTTAGGAACAAGTAGACTTTTCCAAAGTGGCTGTAGTATTTTTATATTCTTACTAAGCATGTATGAGAGTTTTGATTTCTGCACATCCTCACCAACACTTGTCTGATATTTTATTACAGCCATCCTAGTGGGTGTGGAGTGGCCCCTCACTCAGGCTTAGATTTGTGTTTCCTTGATACCGAGAATGCTTTCATGAGCTTATTGTCCATTGTGCACATCTTCTTTGGAGAAAATTCTAATCAGATCCTTCACTCATTTTTCAATTGGATTATTATTCAGTTGTAAGAGTTCTTTCTATGCTCTGAATGCAAGTCCTTTATCTTATAAAAGTTATGTACTCATATGTTCTCTTTCATTAAACTCTATTACAAAGCTTTACAATGTTGTTTGTTTAAAATTTTTATGGTGAATTGAGTGAAGGTTTACAGAGCACATCCAACAAATCCTACACTTTGTTTCATCTCAGTGACCACAGTCCCCTCCCTCCATGTGATTATCCCCCTTCCTCCCTGGGGTTCCTGTTGCCATTCCACCCTCCTTCCCAGCCTCTCTGAACTTTGTCTCCAGGTAAATGTTGTCCTTTTGATGTTGAATGGCTGACCATTCCATGGTGAGCAGACCTCCCTAGTGTTGTTAACCCCCACCTCCCTGTCCACTTGGTTGAAAATTGGGCCCCGAGGCTAAGTCCCATTCCAGACCTGAAGTCTGGCCGAGGGTCAGAGTCTCAGGGTCTTCCGTCCCTTTCTGGCTGCAACAAGTAATTAAAATGTGACTGGTGTACCTGAGAAACTGAATTTGTAAGACTTTCAGAATTTCATTCATTTAAATGGCCCCACCATTCCACGGGAGAAAGATGAGGCTTTCTGCTGCCACAAAGATCGAAAGCCTTGGAAACCCTGAATGTGAGTGGGCCCCGACTCCACGGCACTTGGCTACAGCAGTGGACAGGGCGAGCTGTGGAGCCTTCCACCTCACACAGCGTTCCGTCAGACCACGCAGCTCTGAGCACGTCCAGTTGGGCGTCTCCCTGTGCTTTGAGGGTTGATTGCTCTAATGTGATTGTTGTGATAGGGACAAAGCCTTTCCTGCCCTATTTGTATCTTCTAAATAGTGTATCGCAAGCATCTTCTCATATGGTTAGGTAGTCTCCATCAATACTCTTAATGTTTGTACTGTGTTACGGGAGACAGATGACGCTGTCTGTTCCCACAAAGATCTAAGGTCCTGGAAACCTTCAGAAACAGTTCTGTTGTGTCTGTAATGGGGCTATGAGTTGGAATCGACTCAAGTGGTATTGTGGGGGTTTACTTGTGGAAAGTGACCACTCCACAGTGCCAGTTTGTGGGAAGACTGGGCTTTCTGGAGCCACCCTCTAAAACTCTTCTTGGATGCCTACAGTTGTAAGACTTCATTTCATACTGTTTATGCTGTTACTGAACCATTCACTTCCTTCTCCACTCCTGCCATCTTCTTCTAGCTGGCCTCAGGTTAGCTGAATATTGTCTGGCCAGTGAGGGGTGGAGGTGTGTGGTCTTGGGCTTGCAGCCTTGGGTGACCCCATTGCTCCAGACTGCAGCAGGCAGACTTAGGAAATACCCCTGTGGAGGACTAGGGAGGGGCGTGAGCCTGTTTCTGCCCTTCACCCGCTCCCACACCACCTCTGGGTCTGACCTCCCGGCCCCCACTTCTGCCCTCCAGGTGCATCCATTGTGGTGTGGTCCACCTGACCTTGGCCTTACTGAAAAGCCACATCCAGGAGCGGCACTGCCAGGTTTTCCACAAGTGTGCTTTCTGCCCCATGGCCTTCAAAACTGCCAGCAGCACTGCCGAACACAGCGCCTCCCAGCATCCCGCTCAGCCCCACAAACCCTCCCAGTGAGTGCAGCTCCAGGCTCAGCTGGCCCGGGTCCTGGAGTGGGCGGCGCAGGGGTGGGTCTGGGAGCTGGGGCTCCACTGAGGACATCCTGAGGCACGGGAAGAGCCACACTGACTCAGCGTGGGGCTATCCCAAGCCTGGCCATGGTTCAGAGAGAACGGTGGCAGTGTGGAGGGAGGGCTGTGTGGTGGAGCCCGCAGAGCCTGGACTGCCTCATGTCTGGGGGCTTGTCTCCCCAGGCTCATTTATAAGTGCTCCTGTGGAATGGTCTTCAACAAGAAGAGGCACATCCAGCAGCATTTTTACCAGAATGCCAGCAAGGCCCAGGTGGGCGTCTTCAAGTGCCCCGAGTGCCCACTCCTGTTCCCACAGAAGCCAGAGCTGATGCACCACGTCCAGGTGGGGTGTTCTGGGGAAGAAGGCATGGGCGGAGGGCACAGACACCAGGCCGGGGGTCTGACCTTGTGCAACTTTCCCCTTACCCAGTCAGTAACTGCTCTCCCTATCCCTAGAGCACCCATGGTGTTCCCCGAAATGTGGATGAGCTATCCAGCCTCCAGTCTTCAGTGGACACGTCCTCAAGTCGCCCCAGCTCTCGAGTCAACGCAGAGCCCCCAGCGACTAGTGTGGCCACTCGTGGCAGCTCCCTGCCGTCTAGTCGCTGGGGCAAGCCGGAAGCCCACCGCAGGGGGGATGCCAGGTCCCGGCTGAGGAACACTGGCTGGACCTGCCACGAGTGCCAGGAGTGGGTTCCTGATCGGGAGAGCTACGTGTCCCACATGAAGAAGAGCCATGGTCGGGTAAGTGTATCCACCTCGTCACAAGGCCGAGTCTGCTGGACTTCTGTCTGGGGGCCACAGCCCCCACATGGAACCGATCCCTTTGGGTTGCTGGGTACCAGTGACCTTTAGGATCCTAGGAGCATCTTCTTTCTTGCTCACGTTATCTGAGAAGAAAGGTATACTCGGGAGTCTGTTACGGTGCTAAAGCTTTGTGTCCTGCCACTTGTCTCGCAGGTGTTGAAGCGGTACCCGTGTCGGCAGTGTGAGCAGTCCTTTCACACCCCCAGTCGTCTGCGCAAGCACATCCGTAACAACCACGACACAGTGAAGCAGGTGTACACGTGTGGGTGAGTCCCCAGACGCTCACCTAGATTCTGCCCTGGGCACCTTAGGGCCTCTTTTCTGACAGGAGATCGGGGGTCTAAGTCAAGAGACAAGTGAGGGCCTACCTGAGGACTATACTATGGCGCAATCAGAAGTCAGGGCACCCCAGCCTTTAGAACCTGGTGGCACCTGAGCTCTTCCCCTCTCCATCAGTAGTGAAGGTGCCTGGAGGTGTAAGAGGCACGGGACCAGGCATCCCATCCCCTGTGTTTGGGATATGCCCTGGCCTCTCTCATGCTGACCACTTGCTCAGCACTTGTGCCCCTGGGCAGCGATACCAGGGAGTAAGATCATGACTTGGGGTCAGATATCAAGGGTACAAATATTCCACCTCTGTTGTCTGACACCTTGGCTGGCTAGCTGACTGGATGCGCTCTGGTGAGCCCTCAGAACTACCCAGCCAGCCTGAAGACCATGGCTGTCCACTGGCTCCAGACTGTGACTCTCCCTCCCCCCCCCACCACCGGGCTTCTGCATGAAGAGCCTGAGGGAGCCTGGCGTCAGAAGCAGCTTCTATTTCTCTCTGTTGCCTAACTCCCCTGGATCTGCAGCCTGGACCCCTCCATGACCTCCTCTGGTGTCGCTTTTGCAGGTATTGTACAGAGGACAGCCGCAGCTTTCCTCGGCCCTCCCTCCTGGAGAACCACATCAGCCTTATGCATGGTATCAGAAACCCCGATGTGAGCCAGACATCCAAAGTCAGACCTCCGGGTGGGCCTATCCCTCAGGTGAGTGTGGGATCTCTGCCAAGTGCACTTGCCTGCCCAGGGAGACCTGGAGCTCTGGGAATTCAGAAGGCAGGAGGACGGGCCCCTTTGTCCTTTACCTTCCGCTCCATGTAAGCCATCAGGGACTGCAGACAGGGAAGGACACGGACAGACCTGTGAAGCAGCCCACTGACCTTTGCCTACTGTTGCTCCCTGTCACTGTGCCCCGGCTTTGGTGTGTGCTGTGCTCTGTCGGCATTGGGCCGCTTTACCACACACCAGCCTGTTTCTGCCTCCCAGCTGCCCGTGAAGCAGAGGCAGGCAGGGAGGATTGGTTGGGGGAGGGTACTGAGGTCTGGCCGAGTCCTCTGCCCCTCTTATGGAAGAAGCTGGGCCTAGAATTCTGCTGTCCTGATCCGTTACCCCAAGGCGTCATCCCTGCCCTGTCCCTGTTTCTGATGAACTTTTAGAGCAGCTGTCTTTCCTCCTCGCTGCAGACTCTTCCTACTCCTTAGTAGGACTGTTCCCCAGAGGAGGCAGGTGTCTCTGGAAAGCTCTGAGACCTGCCTGGAGTGCTGGGATATTCTCAGAACTTACTTGGCTATTCAGAGAGAGAAGGGAGCTGGTTGGCAAAGGCATGGAGGAAATAGCCCGTTTCAGACACACTGGGTGGGTTGTCACTTGATGTTTTGGCAACATTGGTCGATGATTAAAATATACATCCAAAGCGCTGGACCACAAGGTCAGTTTGAACCTCAAGGTCAGTGGTTCAAACTCACCAGCTACTCCTAGGAAACCCTATAGAGTTAGAACCGACTCCACGGCACTAACACCGCCTCATACGCTGTATGCACATACCCTGTGATCCAGCCATCCTGTTTTTAGGAAGTTACCTGGCTTTAGGCACCAAGAGGTGTGTTCAAGAATTACCATTGTAGTACTGTGTGGACTTCACAGTCCATCATGGGGACGGCTTATGGCCACACGGGTTCATCCCCACAACGGGGCCGTGTGCAAGCCTTTGCCCTCATGGAAACAAGCTCTTGCATATGTCAAGTACAAGAGTGTGCCTGGGGTGCTACTTTGTAAAGGACAGTGCGTAGAGTATCTCTTGGAAGAGCCACAAAACCCAGGTAGCATGACTGTCTCTGGAGGGCAGGCCTGGGAACACGAGGAGAGACGTAATTTTCTCTATTCTCTTTTCATAGCTTTGGAATGGTGTGTCCACATGTATGTATGTTACATTTAAAGAAAACAAAAAACAAAACTAGCCAGAAACCAGCGTTCAGGATTGGGTGACCCTAACTTGGGAGGTGACCTCTGTGAGCCCTTGGGGGGTGGGGGGCGGGTGCTCATCTAGGGCTGAGGCTCAGTCTGAACTCTTGCTCACATGTGCCCCCTTCCAGGTGAACCATCTGAAAAGACCATTCAGCGAAGCAGGGGACGCTCCAGGCACCACCAATGGCACGACTGTCCCTTCCTCCAAAAGACACAAGTCCCTTTTTCAGTGTGCAAAATGTAGCTTTGCAACAGACTCAGGGCTCGAGTTCAAGAGGCACATACCTCAGCACCAGACAGACAGCTCCACAGCCCAGTGTCTCCTCTGTGGCTTGTGCTACACCTCTGCCAGCTCCCTCAGCCGCCACCTCTTCATCGTCCACAAAATGAGAGAGCAGGAGGAGGAGGAGGAGGCGGTGGCAGAGCCAGCAGTGGAGGCAGCAGAGCCAGAGGAGGGCTCTGGGGAGGAGGAGACCAGGGAGAATGGACTGGAAGAATGTGCTGGCAGACCTTTGTCAGCCCACCTAGAGGCAAGGAGCTCACTGGGCCTGGTCCCTGAGGAAGATGGTGCCCAAGATGCTCCAAGTCAACTACAGGCCTCTCGGGACCAGGACAGCCATGCACCATCGCCTTCAGTGTGACCGGAGGCTTTGCAGTATGCGAGGTTGGGGTGCTGTTGTGTGGACAGTGTGAGTGTGGCCAGCTGTGGCCTGGAGCAGTGGCTGCCCTGAGCTCTCAGTTGGCTTCTGTTATTTATGGCTTTGTGCTGCTTCTTGGTCCCCCCACTCTGTCTGTGTCCTTCCAGCCTCAGGCTGCTCATGGGGCCCAAACCCCTCAGCTGCTGCACTCTTGGGGAGGTTCCCTGCTTGCTGCCCTCAGCCAGGGGACTCCTCAGAGCTTGATTTGCCCTGAGACACCAGCTCTCCTTCCCAGCCCCGGAGCCTGAGAAGAAGGAGAATGGCTGCTGCGGACAGGAGTCCCTCTTGGGAGAGCTCTGCGTAGCCTGGCCTTCCAGGGCCCCTGCTCACCTTGTCCTTCCTTCCTGCCTTCTTGGATTCTTTTCCCTCTAAATTGTCCTGGAGAATGAACGCTCCCCATGTCTTTGCAGGTGGGTGAAACTTTGCAGTGCACCTGTGTTTGGAACCGGGGCAGAGCAGCAGGTGCGGCAAAGGCAGGTGGGCCCCACAAGGAGCTGGGGGTCCTTGTTCTGCTGCTGTTTGGCCTTCCCTGACAAGTGGGGTTTGGGGGCACCCAGACATTGGAATATTTGTACTCTTGATCCTGTGCCATTAGAGAGGCGGCTGCCCCCCGGCAGGCCAGCCCCTCCTCCTCTCGGCTACTCTTGTTTGCTCAGACTCTATTTCAAATAAAAAAATCTTACTGTGCAGGGAGGCTCTTGTATTCCTCTTCAAGTGAGTCTGGACCCACACTGCTGGACCCGAGGGTCTTTCCCAGACGACCCTCCTTTGTCCCATCTCTGGAGGGAGAGCAGTGTTAGCTACTGTCCAAGGAAGGTCCTCCCCAGACTCTGGAGTCCTGGACCCTCCTGCTTCTCTAGAAACCCCCTAAAGAGGGGAAGGGAGGGTTTCACTGCTGGTCAAGAGTCACCTCTAGGGCCCTGGGCTGTAGCGTCCGTCATCAGCTCTAGGGCCTGTCCAAGCTCCTCCATCTTCCTACAGATGGATTTTTGAGCCAAGCAAACACGTTGTGAAGGAAGAAGGGGGGGTGGAGGGGGTGGGGTTCTGTACTGCTGCTCAAGAGGCCGTGGGACTGCCGCTGCCGTGCAGGGAGGCCGGCCAGGGTGGAATGGGGTCTTGGCCCAGCAGGCTGGGGTGCAGGTCATTGTCCTTGTTGGGGCCTGCTCAAGCACACAGAGCAGGCATGGGTGGACCATAGGGCTAGGCTGGGTAGGATCTAGTGCACCGGGGGGATTGGGTGCTGGCCAAGCTCTTGGAGGTAGTCTTTCAAGGGAGGTATTGAATATCAGTTGTAAATTATTAAGTCAGATAAATATGCCTGACCTTCCCACAACTGAGACAAAATTACATTTTCTTCCTGTTTCAAATGGCAGGCTTTTAGTGGCAATGCTAATGGCGGTGGGAAAGGTTAATGCTAGCCTCAGTTTGCGAGGTGATGGCTTTGTGCCATTTCAGTGATTGCCGTACCTGGCAAGACTGCCACCTCCCTCCTCCTGAGCTGGCACCAAGGTCAATCTGGGCCTCGTTTCAGCAGCCTGTAAAGCCGGAGCTAGCCCCAACAAAGGAGCTTGGCAGACATGCACCCTGACCTGACTTAGCTGTGGGTCCTTCTCTGATTCCAGTTGTGGGAAGCCAGCCCTGTACCTTGGGTTCATTCATAAGAAGTATTTTAGAGGCGCCAATAGATGCATGGGAAGTGGGTGGATGACTCTCGCTGATCAGAGGCTGGTGACTGTGAAGCACAGGCAGACGAGGTGGGGGCTCTTCAGGTGTGACCACCTAGCTGTAGGCCTTGCTGTGAGCAGCCTGAGGTAGAAACGCCAAGCCACTCACCCAGGGACCTGGGTCATGGCTGGGGGTCTCAACTTTCAGCAGCTTTGACCTCACTGATCCTGATCTAGACAAAGCTAGTGATCCCCTTCAATTCACTCAATGGGCTTTTGTGAGTTAGTGCATAAGGAAGCATTTTCTAGTTTTTAAAACACTGTCCATGCGCGTGATCCCAATTTTAGGGTATGGAGTGGGGTGGAGTGTAGCTTGTCACATCAGAGTGGGATGCTGGTTATCTGTTATGAATTGGTCAGTGACACCTCCCTTTTGTGTAGGAACAGTGAGGAGAGCAGTACTTTGGAGCGCTGCATGTCCGCTCTGCACTTGGTGAAGGACTTTCCAATGACTCATTTAATTCTCACAGTGGTCTCAGTTATCACTCAGGGAGGGGAAATGACTTGCTGGGCACACCTGCAAATGAAGGGTGAGGGAATCTCCAGTCAAGACTGTTTGATCCCAGGGCCCATGATCTTGGCCATGGCCTGCCTTACCGAGCAGTCTGCAGTGAGCCGCAGCATCCATTGGCCTATGAGTGCCGGCTTCTGTTTGGAGGGGATCTGTACCTTGCCACCTAAAGGAGGACACACACACTGTGTTTCCTTGTGACATTCTGAAGTGCATACAGTGTCTGTGCCTTTCATTCTTGCCACTTGAAGATCAATTTTTGAAAACCCTCCCAGGAAAGATTGCTCAATCCTCACAGGGAACACACGGTTCCCCCAGGACCCAATACCTTATGATCTTTTCTTTCTAGGAATGCGTTGTAATGTTTGCGTTATCACTTATTTATTATCAGAAAATGCTGGCCTTAACAAATACTTACCAGCATGGTTCTGCTGTAGCAAATGCCCTCCTGGTCAAGTTAAACAGATAAAATCACCCTGGTCGAAATGACAATTTAAGATATGCAAGACTTGAGAAATGACTAGTATCTATTCCCCAAAAGACTTTTTCTCTGTAAAATGATACCCCAATAAGTACTGGGCTGCTAAACGCAAGGTCGGCAGTGCAAACCCACCAGTCACTCCTCAGAAAGCATATACAGGGCCGTCGCTATGAGTCAGAACCGACTCAGCAGCACTTAATAACAGCAACAATTGGCGTGGAAAGAACCTTTCCCGTAACTTATGTAAAAAGTCTGGTTTGTGAAAACTTAAGGGTTGTGTCCCAGTAAGCACAACACTTTCCCCAAGACTGAGGAACGACTGCCTGTTCAACACCAGCCACAATTTCTTTTACTACTTCTACTATTTGGTTTTATTTTTGCTTCTTGAAAAATTAATACATGGTCATGGTAAAATATTTCAACAGAACAAATGAAAAGACAGAAACCTCCCAGTGGAGGACAGCCTCTAGTTCCCCAGTCGCCTCTCCAGAGTTAATCACTGTTAACTTGTGTATCCTCTCAGCGTAATTCTATGCATTTACATGTTTATAAATATGTATATTTATATATCAACTTTTAATACAAATGGTAGCATTCTATACACAGTGTTCTGAAGCTTGCTTTTTTCACTTACATAGTAATTTTGGAGATTGCTCCAAAGTCTTAAGCTGTGCCAGTCGAGTTCTTTAAACATTTCTAGCAAAGCTCCTCACATACAATGGGGGTTCAAAACATATTTGAATGTGTGAATGAATGCATGCCTGAATGAATCAGATTCCATTGGTATTTACAGATTTCTTCCTGGGTCCCAGATAAAAGTCTGATCTGATGAAGACAGCTTCATCTAGATTCTAGGACACAGTCTCCTGCCTTTTCTAAGGGCTTAAGGCTGCTGTTCATCATCTCCACCAACAGTCAGGAACTGGCCACAGTGAAGCTTGGGCCCTTCTATAGGAAGTAGCAGAGATTAAGACTATGATCCTAAATAGAGAATTTAAATTTAAAGGGGGAGGGGGGGATTGTCTCTGCTTAAAATGCCCTTTTCTCTTTGGAAGATGATCCAACACTTAAAAAAATGAAAAGCACACATAAAATTTCATCTCTCTACCATTGCAGTCCTGGTGTGGTGCTGTGTGCTAATGTGCTGGACTACAATGTTATTTGAACTGCAAGGTCAGGATTCATGTTCACCAGCAGCTCCTCAGAGACCCTAGATGGGGCTGCTATGAGTGAAAACCAACTCGAGAGCATATTAAAACAAGAAACCATTGCAGTTAGGTTTGTTTTAATTAATGACTTTCCAATCCTTGTGGTATACATTCATTTCTGAATTTATACTGTAATTATGATAATAGTGGTTAACACTGTACATGTCTATATGCCAGACATCATTCTTCTCACTGCTTATTCAGTCCCAGGAGAGAAGTACAGCGAACACAGCGACACTGAGTGGTTGAGCAATTCATTCTGAGAGGCCGAGCTGGGACTCACACTCGGGTGGAGTTAACACCGTACTGTGATACCAGTTGGTACCATGGTTTTTCCCACTTAACATTCTGGATGTTTTCCATGTTTCAGGACAAAGCACTGGACTACAAATTCAGTCTGAACTGCAAGGAAGGCGGTTCAAACCCACCAGCCACTCCTTGGAAACCCTATACAGGGTCACTATGAGTCAGAATTGACTTGATGGCACTTAACAATAACAACATGATCCATGGAATCCTGGTGTGGCACCGTAGCATAAGCACTGGACTGCAAACTCGGTTTGACCCTCAAGGTCGGTGGTTCAAACTCACCAGCCACTCCTTGGAAACCCTCTACAGGGTCTCTATGAGTTAAAACTGACTCGAATCACATAGTTAGCAACAACACATGGCCCTTAAATTATTATTTCCAATAACTGAAATAATTTCATGTCAGTTCAATCTATTTTCTGCTTAACATTTAATTGCCCCACTTTACCGGTGCAGTGAAGAATGCTGGGCACATAGCTTTTTATTTTGAGGATATACACAGCAGACCATCCATCAAGTTTCATCCGGTACAATTCAGTGTCATTGACGCCATTCTTCATGTTGTACATCGTTCTCACCTTCCTTTTCCAAGTGGTTCCTCCCCCACGAACATGAACGCACTGCCCTCTACGTTTCCTATCTCACCTTTCCAGCTGACGTCTGGGTTTGTGGCTTTTTGTTGCTGCAAAATGATTTCCTCGGGATGTATTCCTGGGAGCCGAGTCTTACTTTTCTTGACCCAAGTCATTGGCAGTGTGAG